GTTTTAAGAAAAAATCACAGAGAGTACCTTTAACATGAGACACTTTCTTCTTGGGTAATTTAACCTTTAAGGGTAAGTTGCAGGGGAGGGAGTTGTGCAAAAGTATGATGTGTAGGGCTAGGGAATAATAGTCCCATTTTACTATGACTTTATCAAACCACATAAGGAATGTTGTATTCAGTTCTAGGTAAAACATTTCTGGGTAAGGACACTGACAAGCTGGGGACCATCCAAAAGAGGGTGATTCAGATGGTAAAGGGCCTTGAGATTCAGTGAGGATCAACTGAAGCAAGGTGGTGTTTAGCTTAGAGGGAATTCTTATACATGCATTGGTTGAATTAGATAGCCTTAGAGGTCTCTTGCAATTCTTAAGATTTTCTTAGAATCTATTGATGTCATAAAATAGGTCCACAGGCTACAGAAACCCTGTGACTAAGGTAACAGTCCCTAGGGTGAATGCTGACTTATTCTTTCAATACAATCCTGACCATAGCACATTAAAAATAAAAAAAGTATTTCTTCCTTTCCCCAGACCTGACACTGCTTCCCGGCAACAATACCTAAAGTGTTTCTCTCCCTCTCATGACCATTCCCCCAGGAAGAAAGTAATTATCTCTCTATCTTTAGACTCAGACAAATTCTGATTACCCACAAAATCACTTCCATAGTAACACCAAGTGTTTGGATCAGTGTTCTTCATTTTTTTTTAATTATGGAGAAACTTCCATTGATTCAACCCCTATATGGAAAGAATGCTGATTCAGAGACTTTGTAATTAGAGGATTTCCTTTTGTCTGACATGGTAGCAAAAGAGAAAAGAAGTATTTAGAATCTAAGGTGGTGGCATCATTCCTTGCTGATCCACATTTCAATTTGAGATTTTGCACCTTGTACTTTTGTACATAAATGTATGTAATAGTTGAGTAATATAAAATCCTGCAGGTCGGTATGGCACAGAGGATAAATTTGTATGAGGCAGAAAAGATCACAACCTCTGGTTTTGTTCACAGACACAAGAAGCAATCTACAAAATATAAGTCGTACATATGCATTCTGCAGTTCTTAATTCTCACTGAGTAGTTTTCTACAGCTAGGTGACACAGTAGATAAAGCACTAGATGTGGAGGCAGAAAGACCTGAGTTCAAATGCAGTCTCAGAAACTTAGAGCTGTGTGACCTTGGGCAAGTCACTTAATCTCTGCCTCAGTTTCCTTAATTATAAAATGGGGCTAATAATAGCTCCCAGGTTTGTAAGGATCAAATGAGCTATTTGTAAAGCACCTTGCACAGTGCCTGGCACATAGTAGGTAACTAATAAATGCTTGTTTTCTTCTTTCCTTCTAATTTAGGATTATAGTTTTAGAGGTAAAAGGGACCTCAGGGGTCATATAGTTCTTCCACTTCATTTTACCTATAAAGAAAATTATGTAGGATTGGTTAATTTACTTGCCCAAAGTCACACCAATAGTATATCATATATGGATTACTTGGATCACAGTAAGAAAATTAAAATTATCTCCTTATACAATAAACCTTAGAACTTTTTACATCTTAAAAAAACTTTAAAAATGCAACATGTCCTTGTGCTGCAATCACTTTATTTTACATGATTTGGCATTGTATTCACAAGCTTTTGATAAATATGCTTTTAATTCTTTATCATAAAACCACACATCTCATTGAAAATTAATTATTAATAATTATTTATTTATAAATACATACAATGTGATTATTAATTCTTAATATTACTTTGACAAATAGTCCATGTTTTTCAAGTCTAACTTTGATTATAGCCCATAAGTTTTCAGTGGGGTTTAAATCAGGCAAATTCCCAAGCCATTAAAGTATGCTTACTTTCCTATCTTGAAAAACTTAGCCATTTGTGACGTGTGGCATGGTACAAGGTTGGGTTGCAGTATTCCATTTCCATTTAATAATTTCAGAAAATTCTGCTTCTTGGTGTATCAATACATTTATTTGGATTCATTATTCTCTCAGTGGGAACAAGACTTCCAGACTCATTGGAAGTTATAAAAAATCTCTAAAACATTTTTGGTGGCTCTTTTACAATCTGATCAAGAGCTTACAGGCTCACCAGCACTTCTAACAATGCTTCTGTTGTATATTTGAATGAAAAAGTGAATTTTGTCAGTAAAATTTTTCCCGCATTCAGTACTCTAGTTTGTACTGGCTTGCCCTTGACAAAAACTTTTTCTTCTTAGCAATGCTTAGAAAGGAGTTCCATCATTGATGCAATCACAGGTCCTTAATTTGTTTCCCTCCTCCAATGCATTACAGTTATGTCAATGGAGCATAAGCGCTTGCTACTTCTACCAAAAAGAAGCCTTTAGTATGGGACTAGCAATAGACTATAGGTGGGTGATCTGAAGAGTAGTCCAGTCAAGCTTACAGAGCACCACCTCCAGAGGGTTAGTTACAAGGTGATGAATCTTTTTCTTCCATAACAACTCATAAGGTTGTCTACAAAAGTATAAAGGAACTCTGAATTGATGAAACCATGTATCCTTGAATTTGAAACTAAAAAAAAAAGTAAATATTTACCAAGATAGGTTAACCCCTCCCCCCTGGTTCTCCCCGTTCCTCTTGGGGTCTGTAATCCTCCACTGGTACAGTGTACCGGCCCACTGAGGGTGTTTGATAACCATCAAGGACTGCCCAGGCTGCTCTCCTAGACAAGGGATGAAAGAGGGAGTGTCTTTCAATGGTAAAGGAGCTGAATATTCCACAGGATAGGCCTGACCTAACCTGACCTCCTAGAAAGTAAATAGAAAACTGGCTCTTTCTGCAGCTAGTAAAGTTGAATCCCCTCCCTTCAGGCACCGCAGCCCAATCTTCCTACTCTGTGCCACAAGTGAGGTCCATCTTCTAGGATTTCTTTTGTTTCGAGAATCATAGGATTTCTTTTTTTCCTGTTTTAGTTTATGGGGTATTGTGTGTATTATGCTGTTGCCCAGAAGTGCTTTTCATTCCACTGTCAATAAACTTGTGATCAGCTTTGTCTGAATAACTGACCCCGAACTGGGGCCCTTCAGCTATTTTTAGTCAAATATTATCTTGCCTCTTAATCTTTGTGTTTCAAAGTCCTGGTTATTAAATTGTCTTGATCTTTTTTCATCAACTATTTCATTAATTTCATTCATTCAGCTTTGTTGTTTTTTTTTAACTCACCTTTTTCCAGAATCCATGCCCCAAATTAGCTGCAGAAGCAGCAGGATGTAGTGGAAAGATTGCTACACTTGGTATCAGGAGAGATCTGGGTTCAAATCTTGCCTCTGACACTTACTAGCTGGATAATAAAGGCAAGTCAGTTAACCTCTCTGTCGTGCTATCATAACCTATAGAATAAGGCTCATAATGCCTGCTGTACCTCTCACAAAACATTTATTTATGAGGCTCAGTGGGATAACGTATTCTAAAATTGAAGATATGTAAATGTTAACTGTTACTAATTGTACTAAAAACAGATAATTTTACTACCAGCTAGGCGGCACAATGGATAGAGTGAAGGGCCTAGAGTCAGGAAGACCTGAGTTCAAAACTGGCCTCAAATACTTACTGGCTGTGTGACCCTGGACAAGTCACTCAACCCTGTTTGCCTCATTCTCCTCATCTGTAAAATGAGCTGGAGTAGGAAATAGCAAATCATTCCAGCATCTTTGTGAAGAAAACCTAGATCGGATCACAACAGAACAACAAACCCCACTAGATACTTAGACCATCAAATGGCCTCTCATTTTATTCTCTGCTCTTTCCCAGTGCTGTTCTCTCCCATCACCTCAGACATCTCCTTTCTTCCTTGCCACCTAATTATTTGTATCTGATGTCTCAGAAGCTGCCATATGCACCAAGGCAGGAGGATCACCAAGGCAAAGATTCCAAGAGTGTGGATGACAAGATGTTTTTAATAGTTGTGCTCTGATTTGTAAAGTCAAAGTTGTCTTCTTTGTCTCTAGTCTGTTGTTCATCTACTTGAAACAGTATTAAATTAGAAATTCATGAGTTAATCAATAAGCTGGCTGCTTTATGACCATATTCCAGCAACCACTGGCAATATGCCACTTTGATATAAGTTCTTACAGCTTCCCAAACACAGGTTTAGTGTAACCCACAGGCAGTAACATGCACAGAGTGACTTATGGGGCACCAGTAAGATCATGGGATGATAGGTCTAAGATGGGGAGGGACCTCAGAAGTTCTCTAGCCTGTCCCTCTCATTTTACAGATGAGCAAACTGAGCTCCAGAAAGCTTAACTGATGACTTGTTCAAGGCCACACAGTTAATAAGTGACAGTCAGGATTCAAACTCAGATCCTCTTTCCACAGCACTACAAAGACTCCTCAACCTGAAAATATCTCCCATACCCCAATCGCCAGAGTACTTGTGTTTATGCCACTTAAGATTCATTTCTAGAGATTAAATGTGCCCTCTTATTTCCCATCAAATGTAAAGTACAAAGTCATGACAGTAGCAAAAAGAACAAGTCTCCAACACCTTAGTTTTCTTCCTGTTCCTGGCCACAAGACAGGTAGAAAGTAATGGGTACTTGATGTGTCAGGGAGCACAGACAGCAGGCAAGAGAATGTGGAAAGGAGAGAAAAAGAAGAGTGGGAGGCCTAGTGGTAGGCAGCACAAACTACATGTCACCTATTTTTTCCAAGTTTACTCTGCTCCAATGGATTCTGTTACCCTGTAAGTTACCAAAAGGAAAAACACTCAAAGTGACATCACACTTCCAGAAAGAGAAGGCTCAAAGGGTCCCTATTCTCCAAGAAATAATAACAATAATAACAAGCATTTATGCAGCACCTTAAGATTTACAAAGCACTTTACAAATGTTAATGCAAAAAGCTGAAGGAGTTAGAGAAACCACACAGCTGAGAATGTTGTGGTCAATCAAAGGCACAGCCATGGACAAAATGCATCTGGAAGTACAGTTGGGCTCTAAGGTGGAGTTGATATCTGTAGTAAGAGAAAAGAAATGCTTGCTTCAGCACATATACTAAAATTGGAACCATACAGAGAAGATTAGCATGGCCCCTGAGCAAGGATAATATGCAAATTCATGAAGTGTTCCATATTTTTTCAAGAATATCAAGGGAATTAATGAAAAAAATGCAAGGAAGGTGACCTAGCAGTATCAGATCTCAAACTATATTATAAAGTGGTAATCATCTAAACTGTCTGGTACTGGCTAAGAAATAGAGTGGTACATCATTGAAATAGAATACGTACACAACACACAGTAGTAAATGACCATAGTAAACTAGTGTTTGATAAACCCAAAGACCCCTGACTCTGGGAAAGATTAGAAGGAAAGCAGAAAACTGGGAAACAATCTTTTCAGTGAGTGTTTCTGATAAAGGCCTCATTTCTCAAATATATAGAGAATCAAGTCAAATTTGTAAGAATACAAGCCATTCCCCAACTTGTAAATGGTCAAAGGATATGAACAGGCAGTTCTCAAATGAAGAAATCAAAGCTATCTACAGTCATATGAAGAAATGCTCTAAATCACTTTTGATTAGAGAAATGAAAATTAAAACAACTCTAAGGTACCACCTCACACCTATCAGATTGGTTAATATGACAGAAAAGAAAAATGATAAATGTTGGAGAGAATATGAGAAAATTCAGACTAGTACATTGTTGGTGGAGTTGTGAATTGATCTAATCATTCTGGAGTGCAATTTGGAATTATGCCCAAAGGGCAACCGAACTGTGCATATCCTTTGATTCAGCAATACCACTGCTAGATCTGTATCCCAAAGAGATCATAAAAAAGGGAAAAGGACCTACATTCACAAAAATATTTACAGTAGCTCTTTTTGTGGTGGCAAAAAATTGGAAATTGAGGGGATGCCCATCAATTGAGGAATGGCTGAACAAGTTGTGGTATATGAATGTAATGGAATACTATTGTGTAATAAGAAATGATGACCAGACTGATTTCAGAAAAACCTGGAAAGACTTATATGAACTGATACAAAGTGAAATGAGCAGAACCAAAAGAACATTTTACACAGTAACAGCAACATTGTGTGATGATTAACTATGAATGACTTAGTCTTCTCAGCAATACAATTATCCAAAACAATTACAAAGGACTAATGATGGAAAATGTTGGCCACATGCAGAAAAAGAACTATGGAGTCTGAATGCAGATCAAAGCATACTATTTTCTCTCTCTTTTTTTTGTTTCTTTTTTCTCATGGTTTTTCCCTTTGGTTCTAATTCTTCTTTACAACATGACTAATGTGAAAATATGTTTAATATGATTGTACATGTATAACCTACATTAGATTGTACACTGTCTTGGGGAGGGGAGAGTGGAGGGAAGGGGAAAAAATTTAGAACTCAAAATCTTATAGAAGTGAATGTTAAAAACTAAGAACAAATAAATAATCTTTTAAAAGAAAGAACTGATGGACTCTGGATGCAAATCAAAACATACTATTTTCACTTTCTTAATTTTTTTTTCCTTTTGGTTTATTTCTTCTTTTACAACATAACTAATACAAAAATATGTTTTACACAGCTGCACATATATAACCCGTATCATTTTAGGAAGACGGGAGGGGAAAGAAGTAGGGAGAAAAATTTGGAGCTCAAAATTTTATAAAAATGAATATTAAATATTATCTTTACATATAATTGGAAAAAATACTGTTTAATTTTTTAACTAAAAAAAAGAAAAGAAACCTTCTTCAGTTTAATTATAACCTCTAAAACATTTTAGCGCTCTCTACAGCAATATCCAAAGGATATGACTTTATTGGATATTTATGGGTTATAAATGAGTCACTACAAACATTTTAAAGAATGCCAGAAAAATCATAGATTAATAGAGCTGGAAAGGACCTCAGAGACTTTTTATGGATGAGGAAATCCGTGATTCCTTCATAGGGTAAGAATACCTTAGCACATGGGTCATATAGTTCCCATTTACTTATATGCCATTCTATTTTGTTTGCTACTTAGGGCACATTGCCATAATATCATGACATTTTAGATAACATGTCAGCCTTGGAAAATTCACTGCAATAATTGGAAAGGAGTTAAGAAATCAAATTAAGCAAGTTTTGCTTATAAGAGGATTTGGCATCAGATTTGGGTCTGGGTGCCAGTTCTATCCAGGTTCTTCTACTTACAACCCATGTGATCTTGGACAAGTCACTAAACCTCTCAAGACTTCTGTTTTCTCATGTGTACATGAGGGGGTTGGACTGGATGATTTCTAAGGGCCTTTCCAGTTCTAAATCTATGCTACTATCATTTGTTTCAAATTTTAAGGAAAGTTGTTGGCTAGGAAATAGTTTTGCTTCAAATTATACACTAAAATATTTTGAACAAATCAATAAGAGCTTAATGAGACTTTACTGTTATCATTTAGAGTCAGGGGAAGGTAGAGGAAGAGTGTACCGGCCGCGCCAACCTTATGCCGGCCGCGCCGAACACTCCTCCTATAAGAAGCAGGCTGCAAGAGTCATACTCACTCATCAGTCTTCGGTCCTCAACCGGATAAACACACTGAGACGAGCCATCAGGAGGCGCCAACACCAGAGCTTTATTCAGAGGCCATCACAGCAAGCCATCACAGCAAGGCCAAGCAGGAAGGCCAGAGCAACAGAGCAGGAGCCAAGAGAAAGGGCGTGATCTGACCACGCTCGCTCCTTAAGTACCTACTTAGCCCCTCCTCCCCAGCCCGCTTACTAGCCAATGATTGTAGGGTCAGATACCGGAAGGGGCTGTCTGACTTTAGCGCACCAAGGGAGAGGGAGTGATGCAGGAGGCCAGGACCGGATACAGGAAGGAGGCGTCTGGGATTAGTGCATAGACAGAGTACGTGACCTAGGAAGTCAGGAAGGACACAGGAAGGAGGCGTCTAGGGTCAGTGCTACACAAAGGGACCCAGGAAGTCAGGAAGGTCACAGAAGAGGGAGAGGGAAGGAAAAAGAGAAAGAGGAGAAAGAAAAGAGAGAAGGGGAGGAGCATAGAAAGAGGGAGAGAAATAGAGCAGGGAGGTAAAGAAAGTGATAGGAGGGAAGTAGAGAAAGAGGAGAGAGGGAAAGAAAGAGAAAGAGGAGGGAGAAAGTGAGAGGGAAGGGAAAGAGAGGGGTGGGAGGGAGAGAGAAAGGAGGGAAGTGGAGAAGAGGGGGAGAGAGAGGGAGAAAGAGGGAGAAAGAGGGAGAAAGAGAGGGAGGGAGAAAGAGAGGGAGAGAGAGAGAGGAGAGAGAGAGAGAGAGAGAGAGAAATTAGTTAACTTGAATATGGAGTATAAACATCTCCAGCAATGTCTTTTACATATCTTTAATTCTTGAACAGATAAGCATACAAATGCCACTTCTATATGATGGAAATTTCTGCCTTTAAGTTCATCACTGTTACGATTCTCACAGGGCTCACAAATTCTCAGATTCCAAAAGAAATGGAGCAAAAAGAAACCAGGTACACAAACAGGTCATCCTGAGACACACAAAGGTTCAAGTAGTCCCCATATCCACTAGATGACAGTAGAGAGCAAGAACAGCCCTTCTTCTTCCTTTCTGCAATGAGGCTGAGTGCTCCCAAATCTCTTAGAAATCAAAGGTTACTCCGAGTTACTCAGATGATTTCAGTCTGAAAGGTTATATGATGCTCCAGGCATGTTTTTGCCTATCTATTCCTGGCACATTCCTGGATTTCAGCTACATACTTGCTGACAGACTGGCATTTAAAATGAGAAAATCTCCCTGGCTGTTTGCTGGTAGCAATGCAGATGAACCGCTGCTGTAGGAAGCCAAAGCTCTTGTAATGGCAACCTGTGTTTATTCAGAAGCCACAGAATAAACACGAACCATTTAACCCACAACTCTCTTTCCCACTGCGTACCATTAAAAAAAAAAATACTGTGGGCAATTTTGCCTTATTCTTTTCCGTTAACTGTTTCTTCATCTGTAATATAATTCTAACAGCTACAAAATTGCTGACCTGTTTCATTTCATCGTACTCACCTTAAGCCAGGCTGCTGTGTTCAAGTGAGAGCCTTGGGGAAAACCATTTCCTCAGTAAGAGTTGATAGCTGGTAAATAAAGAGTTTATCACACACACCCCAAACCACACACAAAAAAGCTTAGTTACTTATTATATGATGTCATCTGAAATCCATTTAGAGGAAATTTTTTAAATCAAATAGCATTTATTCATAATCATAATTCCTTGCATTTGAATGATTATTTACAAATTGTGCTTACCCCTGTTGTGCCATTTTAGTCTCTGCAACTCTTATGAGGTAAGCAAAATTCTAATATTCATTTTATAAACTGAGAAACAGACCAAGAGGGGTTCAATAATTTGCCCTAAGGTCACACAGGTAGTTAATGATGGAATAAGAATTAAATTATGAATATCCTATTGCCTAGCTCAAGCTCTTTCTATTGGGTCATAATTACCTGCTTGACTCCTCCATAATTGCAAGGGTGTTCCCTCCATTGATACAGATCAGAATCACATGTACATTTTAGAAGAAGGTTTTTGTGAGTTGTGGCCTAAAAAATTCATTGTTTAATAGCCAACCCACTTGTGGTCAATCTTTTCAAATTCAGGTAATCTGGTCCTTAGACAACAGTATCACGTGGGGTCTAACCCCAGACCTGTCTTTGGTCACACCCACAGGAGGCAGGAAGATTTGGTGAAAAGGAGAGAATAACCAATTGGAAAGGTCTTTCCTAGATTCCCAAATTCTTCCTTGACTCTGCCCTTGAGGCTCAAGGGTGTTGTGGGTAGAGGAATTTCCCTTTGCAAGAGGAGTCTTTTAGTTCGTTAGGAACTGAACCTGGGGCTGGAGTCAGAGAGAAAAAAGATCTGAGAGAACAATTATTTTGGTTAGGGTTCCTGGTTCCTGGTTCCTGCAGCTCAGTTCAAATCCAGACCCTACAGTGAATGGGGAAGAGTGACTTCCATAGTTCCCAGTGAGAGGCTCTACTCAGTCCAAGCTTGGCTCAGACCCAGGGGGTTCTAACCATGAATTCCACATTTCTGTGTATGTATGTATTTGTGTGTGTGTGTGTGTGTGTGTGTGTGTGTGTGTGTGTGGTTGGTGGAGA